TATATATATATATATATATATATATATATATATATATATATATATATATATATATATATATATATATATATATATATATATATATATATATATATATATATATATATATATATATATATATATATATATGTATAGTAAATATATATATATATAATGTTACTTACCTCTGTAGATCTACCTACAGTTCGTAGAAATAAGGCACTGAATGCGATTTTTATGCATATTTGCATGTTACTTACCTCTGTAGATCTATCTACAGCTCGTAGAAATAAGGCATACATCTGCAAGCACACGATTTTGTGTTCGTGCTTGCTTCTTCAACCCTAAACTCTACTTGTTACGTCTTGTATTGCACTAACAGAAATGGGAACACTGATGCTGCTTAATTTATATTTATTCTCTCGTAGTTATTATAGTGAAGGTGGTTCTCCTATAGCATTGCATATTTGCACAAGCCTTTATCGTGTGTCACATCTGTTTCCCATCTGTTTCCGTGCGTCCAAGCACTAACCCCTCTTATATGCCCGTTCGGATGTCGATCCTGTGTATCAAGTGTACAGTGTGGTTGTGTATAGCTATTCTACGGATTTTAAATTTCATGAAAAAAAGTATGAATATATATATATATTTATATATATTCACCCCGTCAATCACATGGTAGTGCTTCCTTGCATCCCTACTCCTCGTACATGTGCGTCCGGTCGTCTGCTCGGTGTGCGACGTGTACCGTGTGGCTGTGCATGGGTAGCGTCAGGGTCTCTCCCACTTGTATCGGTGGATCTGTGCTTGTGGGTGTCATCTCGTATAGGGGCAACACTGTGGCCAGCAGGACCAGAGCTAGATGTACGGTGGGTAGATGATTTGGGTTCAGAATTTAAACAAGTCGTTGGATGCTTATGTATATTTTCTCGCGTGGTGGTTGTAGTTTAGCACTGCGATTAGTAGAACCAGGGCTGAAGAATCGATAGGTGGGGTTGTAGGGTTTCCAAACGTAGTCCAGTATTTTGTGTTTGTGGACTAATACGAGGTCCAGGGCTCAATATACGTATGTAGGGTGCGGGCTTAGGAAATTTAAGTTTAGGGTTCACATAAGTAGATTCAATATACAAACGGGTAAATAGTATTGGGACCTAAATAGCAAAGCTGAAGCTCCGTATTGAGCATACACTAACTCCGCTAAGATCCACCCACACTCCAATAACTTGTACAATCTTGCCCAGGGATTCCACTAAGATCAGCGCATACTTATTACCTACCTTCGGTGACCGCCATAGTTTTGCCTAAGCACAACCTTGGTCCCGCATTAAAAGCGGTGAATTCGAAAGCGGACCTCTCCCGCCATTTCCCATTGCTGTGATGTTTATATGAAAAGTGGGTGATCGATGTAAGATTTTATCTGCTACTATTATATATATATATATATATATATACCTGGCTTGGATAATAAGGGCTTCTCTCAGAATATTGTCAACTCTTCCCCTACCAAAAAGTATCGATGGAGCCATCGGTGTTCTCCTAGTAGCACGTCTTCCATATCAGACCATGCGCACATTTCTAACATCACAAAACTTGTAAAGGGCATAGATACAGATACCTGCATGCACATATACACTAGTAACTCTGTGCACTGTCCGACAAACATACTCATCTATCCACCTCTCTGGCTTGAACTCCAAAGGCTCCTCCCATATCTGCTCGTCTCGTCCCATGACATAGGGAGCGTACAGTATGACGTCTCCCTTGGCAACCTGTATGCCCCCTGGCAACACATCGTCCGCATAGGCCATGCGCACGTTCTTGGGCACAGACGGGTACAGTCTCAGTGTTTCAAAGAACACTGCTTTCAGGTAGGTGAGCTTCTTGACACTCTCGTAGGAGGCGGGGGTGTCCTCGAGTATGGTGCGGATCTCAGTTACAGCCTAAGAGATTGAGATGGGTGTATTAGATAGGCAGCTAAACTATTAGTGTGTATCACACACGTGTAGGAGTATGTGTGGTGAACCGCAGGTGTGTCGATCTCAGCTACAGTCTGGGAAGAGAAGACAGATATAATTTGTACCACGGACATGTATGAACAACTACACTACTCAGACCTATGTCGTATATATACGCCATACGTTCAGCTACTCTATATGTACAAACATTATTCTGCTATGCACGTGTCACTCACAACTACATATATACGCCATACGCACAGTTACTTTGAATGTACAAACTTTCTTCTGCACATTATGTTTCCTTCACAGCCACATAATATCATACATATACGCCGTATGCTCAGTGACCTTGAATGTACAAACAATCTGCTGCACTGTATGTTCCCTTCACATCCATATTGTGTATGTGCGCGATCCTTTTGTATGTTGGAAATGCACATCGAACAGTTTATTGTGCAGACACAACTCACGTCCACCTCTCATCGTACGTAGACGCGATTTTCTTAATCTCTTTGGATGTACATTCAATAGGTCCGTTGTATATGTACTACACAACGCTGCCTCGTGTCTGTGTGCCATGGCTCTGCCTTTCAGCTAAGACATCCTAAGATGTCCTGGGTACATACTACTGACATACGTAACGTACATGTATGCTTTCTTTGGCATCATTGCATATTCTATAGCATATAACATATAACATATTCTATAGAACAAAATAGCCTATAACCATCCTGGGCACATACTATTCAGACCCACCTCTGCATGCACGCGATATCCTTCTAACGCCTCAATACACACCCCACGGTCTACTATGTATTCACACCTTTGCCTGCACTTTTGGGTTCAGATTGAGACAGTGGAACGTCCAGCTCAACGCAATGGCAGTGGTGTCACGCCCTCTGCGACACAATGACCGGACAGAACAGTCAGTCACTTGGTTGTTTTGCGTTGAAGTAGAGGTGTGATTGACAGGGAACGTATACATATATATATATGTATATAAATATATATATATATAAATATATATATTGTTGACAAGGAACGTAAATATATATATATATATATATATATATATGGTTGACAAGGAACGTAAATATATATATATATGTATGTGTGTGTGTGTGTGTGTGTGTGTGTGTGTGTGTGTGTGTGTGTGTGTGTGTGTGTGTGTGTNTGTGTGTGTGTGTGTGTGTGTGTGTGTGTGTGTGT